AATATGGATAATGTTCATCTGTCTATGTTTGAACTGTTTGAAATTTTGTACACAGGTCTGTCTTCAAAAAGAGATTGTGATCTCATTGAGACTACCTGTTAAAGCATTAAAAAATATTAAACACATAATATAATAAAAATTATGATAATAATGATAATATGATGTTTATTTACTGAATCTTGATTTTTAGAGATACCGTTTTAGGTGGTGTCACTCATGGTGTTACCTGAGCAGGTGATCTCCAAGGCAGTAGAGGAATACTGGGGCTTCACTGGTTCATAGTATTTCAGTGCAGATCCAGACTGAACATGAGAAGCTTTTATTTTCCATACACGTCTTGCTATGTAACTGTTTTTGATTTTTGCTGAAAGAGCAGATCCACAGTTCAACACTCTACACACTACATCTGCTGTCCTCAGGTTCCAGCCAAACAAAAAGTCATCCACTGGTTTCCAGTCGTTGTGGAGATTCATTTGCAGTCCACCAGCACATCGCGTGGCTCCTCCAACCAACCTGATATCAGCAGGTTCTGAAGAAAAAATGAGACTCGAGAGTTATTAACATGAAACATACAGTCACTTTCAGTCACAGAAGATTGAAACATGACTGCTGTTTCTCTTTTTTGTTATCTTTCATTTACCTGGGGGATCATTGTCTTCAACCTGAAGACCTGAAGATGAAAAAAGTCAGAGAATAAACATGTACGTAAAGCATAATTTGACTCACAAGCTGCTGTGGCAAGCACTGTCAGCACTATGGAGGTTTGGGGCTAGTTGTATGCCTAGATGTTAGACTCGACCAAGTGCTGGACCGTGAAGTATCCCACAATTCAGTAGAGCTCCACATTTCAGTAATGCAAAATAATACACAAAGACTTAGACCCTGGGTAAATGATCTTACATTTAAGTAGGGTAGGTACTGCTACACTGAGTGTGTTTTAGGAAGCAAAATTGGTCGTGGAGAAAAAAAATCACATAATTTGTCTTAGTCATACATGCTATCAGTCCACGTTAACAGCCAAAATTAATGCAGCCGAGAGATACCGTCTTCGTTATTCCACACATTCTTCTTTCTTGTCAAAACCTGGCATCTACAGTACCCACAATGCAACTTTAATGGCAATAGTTGGGTCAAACATTAGGATGTGTTATGTTAGTACCAGCTAATGTAGCCTTAAACTGCTAGCCTCAAACAGGGATTAGCAGGGAGCTACAGAGGTCTACTAAGCTCACTTCTTCTTACTCCACACCATAGACTGTATATAAGGCAGTGCCCCTATCCAGGATATTTTGGCTTCAGACATGACCTCAAGCCCTTTTAGACTCTGATCTCAATTTTAAAGCTTATTCTAATTCATTAACCAAATCTGCATTTTATCATTTAGACAATATAGCTAAGGTACAACCTCTAATGAGCCAGCAAGATACTGAGAAGCTTGTTCAAGCTTTTGTTTCTAGTTGTCTTGATTATTGTAATGCCTTGAACATTGGCCTACCTAAAAATGCAATTGCAAAATTACAGACCATTCAGAATGCTGCTGCCAGGGTTTTAACAAGGACTAAAAAAAGAGACCATATAACTCCCATTTTATGTAACCTACACTGGCTCCCAGTATCTTTTAGAATTGATTTTCTTGCATTTCAGCATTCAGCATCCACACGCATTATCCGCAAGAAATGCTTTTTCTAGTTTGTCATAACTCCCCGTAAAACCACAAATGGTCTTTTTTTTTTTAAATTTCTGTCTGTGTTTTGATTAAACAAACAGGAAACAACTTGTTATCAGTGAGCTTTATCTGTGCTAGCAGTCAAATGTTTGAACTCATTTCCTCTAGACTTGAAACACAGGCGTCTTTGCCAAGGTTTGATCAAGGCTAACAATGTGGCTACTTCAAGAAAGTATGTGTTCTATTATTTCATAAAACATTATACACACACATCTAACTTAAATCACCTCAAAAAAATGCCTCATCCCAGCCCTAATCCTGACCCTAATCTACTTTTAACTTTAACCCTAAATCCCCAAATCTTAACCCTCACCCTTATAAAATCTCCTCAGTTCTCCATAGTTCCAACTGAACTGCTGCTTCTCCCAGCTATTACACACATCCAACATTAAAGAATAACAGTCCTACCAGAGTTCCAGAGCAACACCAACACCGTTCAAGGTTTCTTGTGATCTCTTGGGACATCCACATAACATATTAAAAGTAAACTATTATATACCTGGTGGATCAAGGTAAATTCAGGGCTCAAAATGTGGGGCCATTATGTCATAGCATCAGACTAAGAGTGTGTAATCTGCATATCCTTTTTCTGAACATGATATTTTCATATAATCAATGTCTAAACATTTGTTTTTTAGAATGTTATTTCACATATAACCATCAGATATGACCTGTTCTGAATGTGTATGTGCAATTGGGGGTACCCTTACCCCGCAATGACCTTTTTTTCTCCGGCATGATGTTAAAAAGACCTCAGGCCATTAAAAAACACAAAAACAGGAACACAGAAGTCATAATATGTAAAACAACAAATAACAAACAGACAATAAACAGACAATAATTATCATTCAGTTTTCTGCACATACAGATTTGTTTGTCCATGAAAACCATGATGCATATCAGCACTTAGCCTGAGCCCTTAAATGAGACCAAGCTTGAAACATGCCTTATTTGTTGAAATATCATATAGAGATAAAGATTTTTTCATGATACTAGAATTTGCCACCTTGGGTGGTACCAGTTAGTGAAAATTCTTACCTAGGCCCATGGTCTGGACCCATTAAACACGATCACCACCGATTTCTCATAATGTTTTCAAGCATAACAAATAGCAAACAAATAAGTTTCCACTATTGCACCATATGTGTATCCTGTCCCATCCTAAGACGTGGATGTCTTTCACAAAGCACAGCGTTTCATATTGCTTCTACAATTTTTTAAATTTAAAAAATTAAATTTCAAAAAAAAAAAAAAAAAAATTGGTTGTTGGGTAGTATTACCCCAAACACAGGTACAATACATCAGAATACCCTCCTAAAAGTGTTTTTGAAAAGATTGACCCCAAAAACTTAAGAAAAGACACCAAATATGTTGAATAAGTGTACATAGATCCTCCAATATTAACATAATTTCACCCAGACCATGAAACTGTGAAATGTTGGAACTTGTACCTTGAAAAAAATAATGTTCCACTAAATCTGTGAAGGTACATTTTCAGTATATGATGCACTAAGGTATCGGGACAAATAAAAACTATGAAACACTACTACTGCAATTTCTCCTAGGTTGGGCCCATTTTTGAGTATAATTGACTGTACTATAAACCTCAAAGTCTTAACCCTCAAACCCTCACTTATAATCTCCTCATCTCCCAAAATTCCAACTGAACTACTTCTTCTCCCAGCTATTACACACATCCAACATTAAAGAACACAGCCCTACCAGAGCTCCAGAGCAACACCAACACCATTAATATGTGTAACATGTCCAGAGCCTTCGCTGTGTCAGCCAGTCTGTCTTTCTCGCCTTGATGGCTGTTTCTGGTTCTTTCTCATCGTTATATTTGACACATCAGCTTCCCCCTGCTAGTCATATGCACTGATCTTATCTTTCATGTCCTCGGACAGGCTCCTGCAATTTATCTGTAACGTCACCTCACTTTTTACAGCTCTCACTCCAGTTCAGAGCCGATCTGTCACACTGTCATCTAAATTCACTGATGCGCTGCTGGATAATCGTATGACATCCAAACAAGCCATTTTTAATCATGTCACATATTCATCTTAAACCTCCATTTCTGCCATCAGTGTATGGGCTGCATGTCAGATTTATTACTGCAAAATGGTTACCAAGAACTTTTATTTACATAGTGATTTTTAGATACTTAAATACATGACAAATCAAAAGTTCAAAACTTGCTTTATACCTTAATCTCAGTGTGTTTGTCACCATGGATTACGGACCAGTCAAATGTCATGTGATTGTTATTTCTCCTCTTCTTGGCTTTATCACTAATTTGGGTGGCACGGTGCTACAGTGGTTAGCACTGTCGCCTCACAGCAAGAGGGTTCCTGGTTCAAACCCAGGGTGGGGGAGCCCTTCTGTGCAGGGTTTGCATGTTCTCCCCGTGTCAGCCTGGGTTTTCTCCAGGTACTCCAGCTTCCTCCCACAGTCCAAAGACATGCAGGTTAACCGGTGACTCTAAATTGCCCGTAGGTGTGAATGTGAGCGTGAATGGTTGTCTGTCTCTATGTGTCAGCCCTGTGATAGTCTGGCGACCTGTCCATGGATTGAAAGTTAAAGGCAAACAACAGTTTTAGAGTTATTAACACCAGGCTCCATAAAGTAAGCAAAACTTTTATGTTCATGCAAATGTTTGTGGATGCGGAGTGATGCTTATTTTGGTTCCCGCTATGGGTAACCTCAGTGGTTTGAAAAACATGACAGTTTGTCAAACACAACTCTGTAGTTGTGCAGTGATGCTGATTACTGCTTTTTGGTATTTGGGTTGCCATAGGGCTATTGATTATACTGATGTGGTAACTGGCTTACCATCATTATCACATACTGCTACTGCTTCTGCTCAAGGACAGACAGTTGACCACAACCAGTGTGCAGATACACAAGCAGCCGGACACCTCAAGGAACCAACTTATGATCATAAAATACAATTTCTACACTTTATGTTTCTGCTGTATATTTTCATATATACACTGTACAGCTGCAGAGATGTAATGTATTTCTCTAATGCTCCAGTGGCCGCTGGTTACAATTCATTTCAGAATGGAATTTAGTTTTTGACAGTTTTACACTGATGTTATTAGGTAATGCAAATCATTTTGCAGCTACCCTGCAACCATAATGTAACTTGATTCCAGCTTTGTCTTTAGAGTGTGCTGACTTTTATGTTCACCTTTTAACGTTCCCTGAATGCACAGGAGCAGAAGTGGAAGGACACAGAATGCAAATGTTTCTTAGAGATGACTTGATGCGATTTATAATTATTTACTGGCCGTATTTTTATTCCGAATCAGAAACACCTGAACCACCATGATTACAAGCATGGCAGAATGTAGACAACATTTGTACATCAGTGTATCTTTAAAAACAATAAATATTCAACATGACATGTGACCCACTTTCATTATTTAATACATTCAGGTCCGGAAGGTTTCTTTCTAAACACATTATACATGTAAGAAGATATTCGTTGAAAATGTGTGAAAAGACTGGGAACCATGAAGTACCATATTGTGGAGTTAGACTGTTTTTCACCAATTTTGTGTTCAGGATTTTTCAGGTGGGACTGAAATCATGGCTCAATGATGCACAGCAGCCATCCTTAACATAAACCCCTACCCACTAAATAAAAATTACCAGCTTAGCATGTTCAATCTTATTAATACATAAATAAACAACTCTGTTAAATGCCACAATCACATAAACACTAGCAAAAAAACATCACTATCGTGTACCCCTCTTCTTTCAGACTGTATCAGCTATCCAGCCCGTACATAAAAGGCTGTCACTGCGTGGTTGCTCGTTCTTTGGCAGAGAGTTGTACAGGACAGTACTACTGGGTTAGCTGCTAACAACAATCTGCTCCATGCACAGCGGCTGGTTCGTCATTTCAGGTCCTTCAGCTGACATGCCCCAGAGTGTCAGAGCAGAGTAAACTGCATATTTTTTCACAACTTTGCAACCTAATTTTATATACTTGGTGATTTTTTTAATCATTCAGATTTGGCTGGGTAGTGAGCACATTTTTCTGTGTTGTGACAAACTTAAAACTTGTTATTTATTTTTTGCCTTACCCGCACTTTAAAACCATTTGGGGAGTGTGCATTTAATGTTTCTATGTGATGACATAAACCCTGTACACATATTACCTCTAAAAAAGCATACCAAGCAAATGCATCTTGAAGTTTCTGTTGACTCTTCATTGTTGCTCTAGAATTGCATCAACGCACTGTCAGAGGCATACAGTCGTATGTTCCACAGAGTGTAATAAATTAGGAAACATAAAATAAATACTGTACCTGAGCTGTAACATTATTTCAAATGTTCACTTCCTGCTATATTGTTTGCTACTGTCAGATTGCACATGATTAAAAGTGAGGGGGATGTCAGAGCTCACAGAAGGTACCAGGCTGTGAAACCAGCAAGGATGGCCACCCAGGCGGCCAAAGCCACCTGACAGGGTGGATGTCTGAGAAGTGTCATGGCTAACTGGCAGGCGTAGATGGGATTTCCACTGGCAGCTGCAGAGAAGAGGAAATAGAGGGGGTGACAGATAAAGAGCAGTCGAAAAAACAAATAAAACAAAGAGGCCAGACGAAGCAGGAAGATTGTCATCACCAACATGTAATTTCATGGGTTTCAACCTCTTCAGTGTTGTTATAATATGGTGAACGTAGCTACTACGCATGCTCAATTACAGGTGCAAAATTCAACCATTTTAAAGACTGTATGCTTCTTTCAGACTGAAAACCTTCAAATGATGTCTTACCCATTTTTGCTGCATAGTAGGGGCACTTGTTGATATCACCTCCTTCCATGGTCTCTGCATGACTGTGTCCAAGTCCTGCATCTTGGAATTCTTCTTTGATGGTCTTCCCAATCTCTTCGAGCTCTGTAAATACCTGTTCTCAGAAGAAAAGTGCATTTCTGTTTTATCTTCATCTTTACCCCCAAACATTAACTGTTCGTGTCAACTTTTTTATGCGTTTCTCAATCGTGATGATTTATTGTGAACATCTGTTGTCAGAACTCTCCCTGACTATCTTCCCTGCCGTCCTCACCATCATGTTAAAGCCAAAGGCCCGGTTGGACTCATCTACAATCTTCTCTTTGGTCTCAGCGTCCAGTTCCAGCTCATTCATCCTGCTTCGGTAAAGCTGCTTGAAGCCCTTGTGACTGTGGATGCTCTCAAACTGGTAGAAGTTGAGACCCTCGCCTGTCGAGGGGAGCTTCAGAGCCCTCTGGGCCACTTTCTTGAGGATCTGTCCGCCTGAGAGGTCACCCATGTAGCGGGTGTAGGAGTGGGCCACCAGCAGCACCGGGTCCTTCTGTCCCACCTCGTGGATGCGGTCCACGTAAGGCTTAGCGCCTGCAGAGAGGCTGATCTGTGAGAAAGAATGGGCTATTAAAAATCAGAGGGAGTTGCAGTTGTGTCACAAAATTTGCTGTCATGTCTGATGTGATCACGGACATCTGCAGACAGAAGTTTGCCTTGATTCTCATCCATTTTATCATATTATCAGTAAAAAATAAAGAGAAAGAAATCTAATGCTCTATAACTGTGATCAAATTCAGGTTTTTGTGACAGAAAAACTGTTTTTACAGTAATAAGATAATCATGCAACACACTTCATTTTATAATTCCAACAAAATCAATGTTTGAATTGGGTGAAAACATCACCTGGGTCCAAATTTTAAGTCACATTAGTTAATTTTTGAATTTCAGACACCATGTGATTCCTGCTCCAGGAAAGGCCAGCTTAGTCTGAAGCTCCTCCTCCTTGTAACCTTTATGTGCTGAGACTGTCATGCAGCCTGTGTGTGCTTTCTGCTGACCTGGCTCTCCCATTCCTCTCCATAGAAGTACTCAAGGTCCCGTGCCAAGGCCTCACGCCGGTGCAGCTCTGCGGGGAAATAGACTGGGGCGATGTCAGGATGGTCTTTGTTCTTTTCGATCTCCTCCTCCATGGCTGAGTAGACAAAGTATAGAGCTGCTGTACCTCTCTGAGAACAGAAGCAGAGAGAGAGAGAGAAAGTGAGATAGTGGGACAGACACATAGATAAAATAGTAACCACAGTATCTGATATAACATGTCTGGCTTTTAAATCAAGTTGATGAAGGATGGAGTGACATTGCAAAATGTATTTCAATATAGTTTCTGGTCAAGTGTCAAAGATGGAAAGGAAAGCTTAGGTCAAAGAGCAAATAGTGCAAAATAAGTGATCAACAGCAAATATTGCATTTGTTCATATTATTATTTTTTACTACTTTACGTTTGTTACTCTGCTAACAGACGTTTTTGCCAAAATAACTAGAAGTTGCAGTCAACCTGAGCGATGCAAGACACTCTAGAGTACAACCTTAAACAGCTCCCGCTTGATGCGGCCACGGAGGAAATCTTTAACAAACTGGCAGTTCTCAGCTCTGTCGTGGGACTCCTTGGTCCCCTCGGCTAACATCTCAGACAGGTCGGTGGGGCTTGGAGGAACAGAGGAGGGCAGAGGAAGAGGGGGCAGACATGAATACTTGAGCCATTTGGCTGTTGTTTTTAAATCATTCCCACAATTTGCCAACGTGGTTTTCCTCCATACCTGAGCACTTCCTCATCGTCTTCCACAACAATTCTTGCACCACCATTTGTCACACCATTGGATCTGGGCTCAGATGTCACCTTGGTTTCCATCTTGCTAGTTAAGAAAGCAGGAGAGGGACATTGATACAGACTATCAATTGAATATAATGCAAAAGAGATGTTTGTATATCTATATAACAGTGATGTTTCACTAAAACAGTGGAGAGGAAAAGCTGGAAAATACCATCAACAGACAGCTTAAGATACATAACTTTTCCTTTATAACACGTCAATATTGTGTAAATTACCTCTGAGAAATCCACCAGTCCCTACATAAGTATGGGCTTTACAAAGCTCCCCATAGAGTTACTGTGCAATTTTAAGTTTAGGACCATTATTGTGACACCACAATGCATTATAATTCGTTAGCTGGTCAAACACATTATGGTGGAAGGACGTAGTCGTTATAAAACATTGGTTTATTAACATTAGTATATCGTTTTTGAAGTATTATTGTCAAAATAAGTCGAAGCTAAGAGATGACATTCCCGCGGACAGTTACAAAACGGACACAACACGTCTTCGGTATTATGCAAGTAGAAACAGTTACAAACTGGTTTCTTTACACAGTATAGACTTTAAAATTGGTTTTCTGTCTCTGTAACCACAACCACATACTATGTTTTATGACCGTATATTCAGAAAATGAGACAAAACACAGGTTTACCTTGTTAAAACTCGGCTTTCACAACACCACGCAAAACAGCTAGAGGACACAATGTGAAGGGGGCGCGGTGCCTGTGAGATAAGCCAATCAGAACTTTCGCACAGCGGGAAAGCACGCTGATTGGTTAGAGCCACAGGTTTTTACACCAATCAGATTTCTCACCACCGATAGAGGCGGGCCTTAGCACGTGTTTATGATAAATATGATTAAAGCAGTGTTGTGGGAAATGAAGTTTGCACCATTTTAGTGTCAAACAAACGGTATTATACGTTTGTATATATTATAGCTGTGTTGGCGAATGTTTTCAACTATTTACGATTTAATAAAAGCTCTTTTACTTATTTGCTCATATCATGGCCACTGTGTCACTTTATGCTGCATGCTTCATGTGCAAATTACCTGCATTTTTTTTTCAAGATATTTATTTTCTTACAATGCAAATATTTAATTTCTTTCTGTCAGAGATCATGGCATTAAGGCTGTTAATCATACTTAGTTTTTATTCATCTTATTTTTCTCAGTAGTTCATCCAGATCCTTTAAGTCACTGAAATAAAGTGCTGCTGAAATTCCACCTGCAGACTGACTCTTCGTTGTCCATACTTGTATTTACAGATTTACATGGAGCTCATTTTCCCCACACTGTATTGTGGTATGTTTATTTGACCGCCAGATGTCACTAGACTCCATACAATGTACCACAAAAACGTATCAAATCCTCAATTTATTCAGCAGCTGAGCTCAGGTCATTAGTGCAGATGGAGGAGTGGGCTGTTGGCTTATTTCATAAGCTGCACCGGTGATTATTATCTAGGCAGTACCTATTGTATTGCTCCCTTTGCCCTACATATGAATATGTTGTGTGATAATATATAACTTCACCCAGTCTGTAACCGTTAACCCTCATAATCATTTGCCACTTATTATATCATTACATTCTCTGCTTGTCAGTCCCTCTTCTGCATGACTGCACAGATGCAAAGATGCAAAAATAAACACATGTCCTGCTCTGGCACCAAAATGCATAGGAACTGTATGTACGTGTCATATTTTGAATAGTCTGTCTTCCTATGTTTTGCTGTTTACATAACTGTGCTCTGCTATCTATCTACACATCGACTGCAATGTCCAGCAGATAGGGACTGAGCTGGATGTTATTGTGTGGTGCAGTCACACCCTAGATAAAGAACACCCTCGGTTCACCTATGGGCTCCCAAAAGAACACTTGAGAACATGAACAAAGGAACAAAGGTCCTGGATTGGAGTTCTTTCCTCTGCAAAACCTCCGTGTATTGAAAGGGATTCTGGCAGCCCAGAGGGCTTCTTTCATGTCTTGAAGGGCCCTGGAGAGCCCTGCTCTGCTGTAGGAAAACCCCACTTCTACTTGTTGCTGTCCAGCTCCAAACCGCTCCAACTACAGACCCACCTCTGTTTGTTTTTGTCATTGTTAATAACCGAGACGAGCTTCCTATGATCAACAATATTGCATTGACCTCGACTCCATCCAGCCCGAGTGATTTTGCTTTTATATTCAATACAATTTCCTGTGTTTATGAAGATTTTGGCTGCTTTTCTCTGACTCATTAATCATTAACAATATATAGGAAGGCACATGCAGTTTTTTAGAACTGATGTGTAATACTCTTAAGTATGCCTGACCGCCTGTGTTTTCCCAAAGTGACATTTATCACAGTGCAACCTGGATACCATCATGTTTGTATCCCTCCCTGTAAGTGCTAAACTAAGGCCATGGCTCCCTGGGGTTTACATGACGCTGCTATGATCCACTGTCAAGCCATGCCAGATCGTAGTAATCACACATTTATCACGCGGGCACTTTGTTCCCTTTCATTGTTTACCACATTCCAGATTGTTTTTGGCACAATATTTTGGATCTTTATTACACAAAAGGGAAACCCTCCTGTCGGTGAAGGATTTCCTCTTGTTTTCAATAATCAAAAGGCTCATGCTAAAATAATCCAGAGTTGGATTCATTTCGACCTTGTTCAAGTTTTAGGTCAGTGCGCTTTTTAAAGACTATTTGGGAATGGTAAAAAACAGTGTGGGCCTTTGATATGTTGTGATTTTGTTTTTGTTATGTGACATTATTTTGTGGTGTTTGACCTTGACTCATTGGACAAAACTGTACGTCAGTCCTTGACATTCTACATGGCTCATTTCCTCACTGACTAATATGGACTAACAATATGTTTTATTCATAGTGTTAAAATGTGCATATAGTCATGATAGACTTATTTCATTTACATCCTTGCTTAGTTTGACACAACATACATGATATAAAAAAAATACACCATAGCCTATATTAGCATGACTTAATTGTCTTTTTGTAAAACACACTTGTTTGCTTGCTTGCTGAGCGTTAAATAAGAGGGTTGATAGCACTCTCATGTCCGTGTACTAAGTGTAGAGCTAAAGCTAAATTAGCTTAGTTTAGCATAAAGAGTGGAAGCAGAGGCAAACAGCTAGTCTGGCTCTGTCCAAAGTTAAAAAATACGCTTGCCAACAACACTTAATAAACATGTTGTTCCTTGTTTGTTTAACCTGTACACAAACCTAAAAATCACAATTAGTGGTTTTACTAGCCTGCTCTTAATCTCAGGGTGTCAATTACTGACACTTTGTCACATCCCTCAGCATGTGGTATCTACACCAAAGTCACCCTTTAACGCCTTTATGAGACGCACTGGGCTTCAACTAACACCACTGCAATCCCATCAGTGGTAATATTTGACAATGAGAGCAACTGATGTGGTATAAAGAGTGATGAAGTCTGTGTAGGGTCAGAGGGAAAGCAGGTGGATGGGTCAAAGAAAGCTGGACTTATCCACCGGACCACATTTCAAACCAAAAGTCAGTGTTGTTTTAATGTGACGTTACACAATTGATGCACAGTCGTGATGCACTGATGTCACTTGTGATGTATTTATGTTACCATAGATAACAAATGTACATATATATATATTTTAAGATTGTTTTTTGGGGGGTATTTTGCGTTTAATTGATAGGACAGCTAAGCATGAAGGAGAGAGAGAGAGAGAGAGAGAGAGAGAGAGAGAGTGACATGCAACAAGAGGCTGCAGGCTGGAGTTAAACCCGGGCTGCTGTGGGCAAGGACGAGGCCTTTGTACATGGGGCGCCTGCTCTATCCACTAAGCTGCCGACGCCTCAAATGTATCTATTTTAACCAAAAACGTGATAATTTTTCCAAACTTGACCCAAGTAGTTTTGTTGCCTAAACCTAACTGCAACAATTCCAAACATGAGCCACCAGGTACAATGTGTTTCAGCTGTGCATCACACCAATATGCTAAGGGTTGCTCTGCGCTATGAGACGCCAAGGGGCGTGACGAAGTGTCGGTATTTGACGACCTGGGAATGAGAATGGGTTGGGTTTTATAGGGAGTCACTGCACCAGCTATAGTTCAACAATAAATGGTTACAACACATACCTCTCCATAAAACCACAATGTGTCGTTTTTACATTTCTGTTTATTAGGGATGACAATAAAACAAGAAACAAAGTGTAAGTAAAAGTAAGATGCTAATAGGTGTATTCTGGAATGGACAGAGCCAAAAGGTTGTCTCTTGCTGCTTCTAGCCTTATACTGAGCTAATCTTATTGTCTGCCCTGGCACTAACTTCTGCATTAACACATAGACAAGTATTATTGATTTTCTCATCTAATTTGCATGTGTTTGTACTCCACCTTTACTGAGGGTGTTAGATGGAAGGATGTGCTGAAAATGACACAAATATTTCATTGACAGAGGTGGCATGGACAAGTATTGCTGGCAAAATTGTGTATGTGCCCACTGATGGGGCTCATGTGCTCAAAACAAGCAATAAATTATTAGTTTTGTCCAACCATTTTTCTGCCATGCACTTAATTTACAGCTGAGAAAGTCCACCTTTTAAAGCATATCTCCAACTGATCACATGAACTGCTTATAGCATTAACAGCTCATCAGAATAGATCATATTTTATGAAGCTGCTGAAGGACATCGTTGATCTCCCTGCGTCTGCTGATTGAAATACTCATACTCTGTTCATTTTGCTCTCTCGTCCTATGCAGGACCTCTTTGCATAGCATGAACAGGAGCAGCCAAAAGTAACATGTGAGATGGATGACTTAAGATAAAAGTTTAATATCTGAGAATTCCACAGGAATGAAAACATTAAAGTGCCACATTTATCTAACAAGAGTGCAAGGAGCAGATTTGTTTTCTCACCTCCTGCAGGATACAACACTATAGTTTGCCATAGACTGGCAGCTACCGGCCATACTCTCCTGATTTATAGCCGTACAAAATGAGCAGCTTTGCGTCTCTGGTGGGTTTCAAGGGTGAGGGCCTGGACCCTGGTACCATAAATCCTGGTGGCTGTGGTGGCCTGCAGAGAGTGTGCTTAACCCTGCATCAGTTTTATAATTAGAAACACACCTCCCTGCGTTTGCCTGCAGGAAACAGCCCGGGCCTCCGTGTGTGTGCGAGGCTGCGGGCTAACAAAGAGAGGAAAGTGGACACATGGGGCAGGCATGCGATTTGATCACAGTCTGGTATTTGAGTGCTGCGATCACCTCATTAGAATGTGCAGGTGGATGGCAGGGCAGGATGGAGACAACCTATGAGACGACGTAATGAGACAAGGGAAACGAATAGTCATGCTTTTACTGTATGTTTCGATTAGACATCACTGAACTGTGGGGTTATGCTACAGACAAAGCTGTGCAGGTTGACTCACAGTCTTGAAGCATTGTGACTTAACTGTAGCACGTATATACAGTTAATCTGAAAAAGAGTGTGCTGTTTTGAACACAACTGTGAAACTTGCATGGAACAATTTAGTGTTGTTATCAGTGTACAGAACATTACATTAAAAAACATTTTATTAAAGTTAAACAGAATTTTAAATATAGAGTTGTTTAGTGGTGTACCCTTGAGTCATGATAAGAGCAGACGCTCTTTTTCTGTTTTTTCATCCCAGAAAGTTTTAGTTATGAGGATGATACTCTTCTGAGCTCTGTGATGTAGCATATACCTT